ACCAAATCACATATTTTTTTCTGGACACACCATTTTCTGTGTGATTGTAATTTACTATTTTTTATAAGAATAATACAAAAATTTACTGATTCGTGTCTGATTGAAATGAATCGATGTACACGATACAGGCCTAGCTTAGTGTGGATGTCAAAGTTTACTATAAATTGCATTGTTAAGTGTTTTTACAAATAAATAAATAAAATAAATACATGTTTTTTTGGTATGACATAAGTTATTTCAGACAAAACCGCATGCGAGCCTAGTTGATATTCAAATAACTTCAACAAAAGCATTCCGACAATATGAGCCAAAAACGCGAAATAGCTGCATGACTGTTTTAAAAGCAACGTGAAATATTCTGAAAAATATTTTATAACAATCACTTGACAATACACATTATAATTCTCACGTAAAGACTCGTTTGGAGTTTAAACTGTATTCATAACTAGACATTATTTACTATTGAATTTGTATTTGTATAACAACAAATATTTTATCAAATTTTATAAGATAAGAGGTTTTTTTGTCCTTAATGTCTTGAACAGTATTTTGCATTGAAATTGATATATTTAATAATCTATATTCTATATTATATTATTATATAGAATCCTAGATAGCTTAAAAATCACTGAATATAACATCTATATATTCTGTTTTATCTAGAGTTAAAATGATTATTTCTTTCAAACCTAATGGCTAATACTTTTTATGTAAATTTAGTTATATCTACATTTTTAGATATGTATATCTACAGGTGTGAGTAGGTGATAACCATCTTCAAACAGCTGGAAAATCTGTTACTTTTCAAGCTATAAAAAGTACAAGTAAGTACCTATCAGTATTATTAATTCATTTGGCGACCCTTTCTTTCGTGATTACCCAGTAATCCAATAAAATTCACGCTTATAAATAGTGTCTTTTTTATTTTTTATTAATTGAAAAGAACAATTTAATATACAAGCAATAGGTTCACAAATATTAAAAGTACAAAATCCTCTTAAAAATCTATCTCAATATTGTTCACGACAATTTATATTTTTTTGTCAATCAGATAAATTGTGATCAAATATATGAAACTGATTATTTTAAGCATTAATGTAGAAAATATATGTGAACAGTCGGTTTGTCCGCAACACAAAGAACATATGAGCCATTCACACTGAGCCTTTTCATTCAGTTGTACCAGGATATCATCAGAATATAGGAGTATTAATTCTTCTATCGGTTTCCATACATGTACCAGAGAACATTCTAGAGTTAATAGTGACAAAGGTATCTGAAAGAAATTAAAATGTGGGTTAATTTAATACATTAAGTCTTGCCGGCCTAGTGGTTTAAAGCCCGCCCCTCATTCATGAGGGCCCGGGTTCGATCCTGGCAAGTACCAATGTGATTTTTCTGAGTCATATGTACTTTCTGACACTGACAGACGGTGAAGAAAACATCGTAAGGAAGTCTGGACTTATAATTTCAAATTAGAAGTTTGAAATCGCCAACCCGTCTCGAGCAAGAATGGTGATTAATGCTTGAGGCCTTTGCTCAGCAGTTTGCTGTGATAGGCTGATGATGATGACTAATTCACATTAAGTATATAATTTTATTTCTCACCTCTAATAATAAACAAATAGGGTATAATTTTGTCCATAAAAGGCCAGGAAACCAATTTATCCTCCTCAAAAGGAAACAAACACTCGTTAGGAATATTAATTTGGATTCGGGATATTTTCCGATGATTACATTAGCTGTAATAGAAATTCACTTAGCTAAATAAAATTAGAATAAATTGATAAAAAGCATCTTTGTATAATTTTCAATGATTATATGTATAAATATTTAAAATGTTAAACTAAATTTGTATGCATATTTAGTTTGACATGTAGACAATTGTTATTTAATGCATTCAAAGAACATTTGTTTAGTGAGTTTTTTCAAGAATTTGTATTAGAAGAATAAAATTTATTTTATACCATCTCAATATTTGATGTAAGAGAATTTATTTGTATTGAAATTATATATAAAATAGCTCCAACCCTCAAATTAACAATAATAAACTTACTGGTATATAACAAAGGTATATTATGTATTATAAATGACCAAGCAATTATAATTGCAATTGAACTTGTCATTACATGAATGGAGTCTTAATAATCAATTCCAATATCTGTTGGTTGGTTTAATATGCCCTTCATCCGTGCAAAGACGTGGAGTATATTCTGCAGTGTCATGGAAAATTGGAAACGATCCGGGATTAACTTTTAAATGAAATAAAATATAACAGCTTTAGTGAAGTCGTAATAAGTACTTTGTTAGATTCTAAAACAATACAAATTCAATTAGATGCAAGCAATTCTAATGAATTATATGTATATGAAAATGAGAGCTAACAGAATGTCACATATGACATACAATTTTTATTAACATTTTTAATCTATTTAAACAGTACATAGTAAAAACTATTTTGTGCTCAATCACTCATAATAAAGGATAAGTGTACACTATTACCCACTTTTCCACGTTGTAAACGGTTTTTATAAGGTGACCTTAAAAAACTCTCAAATAAAAAAGCATTTTAATGGGAACTTGGAACGTACTTCGAAGTCAGCCCTAGTAGGTTCTTTTCAAAATCGGTTAGAAGAGAGGAGCTTGGACGGTGGAGGTGAGCGTTTAACGCGTTAGATAGGGACAACTTAAACCTACACCTTTTTTTTTTTTAAGGGGAAAATCATCAAATGACCCCTCTTGCCTGGGTGGGGCAAGAGGGAGTGTCAGACTCTTACTGACTAAAAACCCCCGTACCTACTCCTGCTCCGAGCCTGAACTTAAACCTACACCTAGATCGCAAGTCCCAGTCACTGTTGAAGATCCTCTCACTACAACGATGGACCCGACACCCGCACCGTGAATACATGGAATGATGGGAGGTGTTGTCTCTTAAACACGCTAAAATAATATATCATTTTCATTGCATCGTTATAATTAATTATCCTTATCATACTGTCATATTATTGAGAAAATATCGTCTTAAATATATAGACTTAATATAACGAGTGTGCAGGCTGCTTTCTGTTTTAATTAAAGCTAGTGATGCGTGCACATGCATTCACTGAGACAGCTTCACATGACGTACAGACGATATTTATTACATTAGTTTCTAGATACTAATATTAGTAATAAATTGATATTAAGACATCATATATATACCTCTACACTTACTCTTAGTTACTATCTTTACTACATACGTAGAGTTAATAGTTTCTTAGTCAAAAATCTTCGTTCCTATCGTATTAAAAGCATGAGATCTAAGACTTTCGAGTATTCATTTAAATGAAACTAATATTTTTCGGATTACTACGCGTAGTTTATTATTTAAAACGTCATACTTCCGACGTTTCGGTTAATTTGTTACAGTGATCAAGCACAAACGAGATGTGTGTTTAAGTATTAAAGTATGTAGGTAAAGGAAAAACAGAAAACGCATCGTATGTAGTATGACGATACAAACTTGTACTAATGACATAGACCTAAAAAATTATATGATACAGGGAATATAGTTTTATTTAAATGCGACTGCTCGTTAATAATCATAAAATTCATTAAACAATTTATTCATATAAATCTTTATACTTTTTATAATAAGTCTTACACACACAGACACACACACACACACACACACACATATAAATATACGTATATTTAAACATACACACACGTTTTAAATTGGCTTGACCTATTAGTTATAAATAAATACAAAATAAAAATAGTTTTGTTATATAATCCATATTAAGCCATATTCTTTGTCACGCCATATGTGGGTTTGTTATATACTTATATTAACTTTCTCATTTGTTAGGTACATATGTATATAACTAAAAAAAATAATGAAAAATTGTCGTTACGACATTATTATAAAAATCTTCTAAATATAACTCAAAACGAATAAAACTAATATTTGTTTTTGAGAATCACATATTTCTGTTGTCATATTCTATATTATTTCATTAAAAACATACAATTTATTTGTATTTTAAAAACTGTTTTATTTATATAGAACTAATATTATTCTACCAGGAAAATAAAATAAATACTTTTATTGAAACAAATCAATGTTTTTTTACAAATAGTAATATCACTTAACCATATATGTACATACATTTTCTAAGATGGGGATGATACTTATATAATCTTTTTAGCGTGACAAACTATCCACAATATTGTAAAATTTAAAATAGTTTAAATTTAGTTCAACCATAAAATTATTGAAAACCTGATCTTATTAATTAACATTTATTCTAAAAGAAAGACTTATTTATTATATTATAGTTATATACGTATCATTTTAAGTTATTTTTAATAATATAACTGACTCATTTTGTGTTCTAAAAAGTGGATATCATATACGAAAGATTAATAATTTCTGCTTGAGATTATTTCCTCTTTCAAACTTATTTTTCAATGTATCTCCTTAAATACGATGTTACTTTTATTCACATAATTTAATTTTAAATTAATGATGGAAATAAAATATATACAGTACAAGTTAGGTAATATATTTTATTACACTACCTAAACATATAAATAATGTAATTATTTTAAATAAGCATTACAGTAAGTGAGAGTTGTAACTAAAATTCAATTCATGTCAAAAGAAAAAATTATAAGAATTCTTTATATTTATCGTGAAAGCAAAACGTACGTCGTATTCTCAACACGTGCGAATTTTATATTCAGTCGTAAAATGTATTGTTAATCTGTGTAGTGGACAAGCAACATACAACGAGAGTTATACAATTACATTTATTTTGCTTTACATTTAATTTAAATGATGATATCTTGTCAAGGGATTGGTGATTAAATGGAAGTAAAATTTATAAATGAAGCGATTTGTACAAATAGAATTTCGTGTGTGTAAGCAATAGTGATAACAAAGTGATCTTGTGCAATAATTAGTTGAGTACTTTCTGTGTTATCTGAATTTTAAATTAATAATTAATTCATCAAAAATGTATAATAATATTCACAATTTTATACCGTGGATGGTGATGACGAAGTTAGTTCTAAGTTTACACGTAGTCGAATTCAAAGATGATCATTTTCCTCGGAGGGCTGACTTGAGAACTGCTAATGATTATGATCCACGCGGTGATGAAATCACTGATGATGATGAGCATCACGAAATAGTCACCATGTTGGAGGAAAGATATAAATTTGTTAACGACAACACATCAACTAGATTTAAAATTGCAAATGATGAAAGGCATCCAGGTAAGTAAATTGTTTTTTGTGATCAATTTGATGACTTCGAGTGTAATGATGGGTGTAGTGTTCCCTAAGTCTAGAACCGAAAGGAAACTGGCGTGGGCGTTCAGGGCGTATGCTGTGAGAAGAATCGTTGGTGGTATGGAGACCAGCATCAGCATGTATCCATACAACGTGGCCATCTCTAGAAACGGAAAGCATTGGTGCGGGGGAAGCATCATTGATGAACAATGGGTGCTGACGGCCGGCCACTGCTTTGAATCGTAAGCTTTTATAAATATACCGATATTTTCACCACTTAGAAAATTTTGGCTCCTCAAAACTTTAATGAATTCGTAAAAACAGTTGGTAACCTCGTTTTATCATAAAGTTGATTAGTCTATTAAATCAAAAAACTTTGTGCATTAATTGATATATAAAGATTATACTGATCTCGTGGGACACTTAATCACATAATCAGAGGCAAAAAATACTTTACATAATTTGAAAAAACTAATACTACTGAACCGGCTTACTAAACAGACCTAAGAACCATAACATACTACTAACTTGCAAAATAAAACAAAATCACATCAAAATCGGTAGATTTGTTTTCGGAATACGATGCCACAGACAGACACACACACACACACATACACACGTGAACATCAAACTTAAAATACCTCTCTTTTTAAGTCGATAATTAAATCGTCTTATTTGTTACTTGTTATGATAGATTTAAATCTCAAACAATATTATTTCTGTGTAAAAAGACAATTCTATTACAAGAAACAATTAGTTTGACCATTACGGTTGGCCTGTTGCGGTGTATTCTGGAATGTTGCCAGTCATTGGGCTATAACAAATTGCATTGTTTTTAAAACTACAAAATATATATGTTTTATTAAGTCTCTGTTTTATTAGAAATTTTTGTGAACTTATGAGAGATATGTGAACCTTATTTTATTTAATTAACATATAATAATGTAAATTTATAAGGTTTTTACCTGATTGAAACAGACGATGTATTATTTTTGATCCCAGATTTATGTATTATTTTGAAGGGTTAATAAAGTTTTTTCGTGTTTGTAACATTCTAATATATTTTTCAACTGATCATAAATTTATAATAACGCATCAAAGATAGGAGGTACTTAGAAAAATTTAAAATCGTTAGTAAAATCGTGAATGTCTTTTTGACAGGGCTCATGATGGAGACAAGAAGAAACTGCTGCCGTTTATTGTGAGAGCTGGTAGTTCTTTTCACAACCGAGGAGGTTATCAAGCCAGAGTTAATAGGGTAATATTTTGAACTACAAATTTACATTTTGATGGACACGTTTATTGCATTGTTGGATTTGAAATGAAAAATGGTATGTGTACGAATGATAGAATATAATGTTATTTAAATTAAACGAATATTATTCAGATTACTACGACTTATTTTATTATTAAAAACTACATACTCGCGACGTATCGGTTATTTTTCAGCACCCGTGATCACAGGCAGATGAGATGTGATATTTCAAATAAAATAAGTCTAGTATATCCGAATAATATTAGTTTCATTTAAAAGAATACTCGTGAAAGTCTTAGATCTCATTACAATGTAATTTTTCCACCACAGATGAGGTTACAACATGATGTGCACCTGTCTTTATTAATTGGATTATGTTATTATTATAACAAAGATACAGACAAAAATTGTTTCTGTTTGTTTCTATTTGGCATCGAAATTTTAGAAGAATTTTCACTGGCTTATATAAATAAACTGATACAAAATTTATTTCATAAAAAAAAGGTTAACGCTTCAAAATCTACAATTCCTTGATTAAGGCGAGCGTCACAACTATCTTGACAATTAAACTCACTAACACTTTCTTTTGCTACAGGTTTTTTTCCCCAAAAAGTATGCCCCGGGGAATGCAGACTTTGATTTTTCCCTTCTCCGTCTGGATAGGCCTATGCCTATCGGTAGGAATATAGCTGTATTGAACCTACCTGCCAAAGAATACCTCGTACAAACAGACGACCTGTTGATTGTAACTGGATGGGGCAGCACACACGTAAGATATTCCTATTTATTCAGTATTAATAGTAACACATAATCTTAAAAACTATTCTTTGTAGGTACTATGTCACACTACAAGCAAATTTAAGTCCACTATTTCCACTTTGCTTATCTCAATTCCTTAATCTTTTCTTGTACACATTACATTAAATCTTACTCTAAATTTCTTGTGAATGCTTATTATATTGCGATATAAACTGCTTCCTACATTATCATGTATGTAATTGGTGAATAGTTGTACCTCTTTTATAAGACCATAATTTTTTACAATAATCTTAATAAGTAAGATGTTGTTAATTTTCAATAGACTTTCCAGTCGACTATATTTCAAAGCAAATTCGTTGTTTATTAATAATTCTATTGATTATTTATGTTTATAATTTAACTGTTTTATATCGAGCTTAGTAAGTATCCGCATTGGCAGGTTTTGGGTCAGGTAAAAATAGCCCATAATTTATTTTTTTGCAAGATTAGAGAAATGACTTTTTAACACAATATTAATACCATATTTTATTTAACTTATCTAATATAATATTTGAAATTATATAATTTACATATAAATATAAAATATTATCAAAACTCAGTGATTAATTATCAGAATATTGAATGAACAGAAAATAAAGAACTATTTAATGTCATTTATTGAACATGTAGTAAATTGATCTCAAATTTAGCAGCCATTAAGCCTCTAGCTAATGGAATGTATAATATTACATGACATGGAAATTAGACAGTTTCAAAGTTATTAAATATAATACATAGTAATAAATAAATAAAATTAAAGAAAACAATATTATTAATCTAATATATCATGACTAAAATTCATTTATATTTTGACTTACTTTCATCACTACTAGCTTTTTAAATCTATTTAAAATTTTAAATTCTTATTTAACTTAAACATTTTCATCATGGATTGTAAATATTTTGACAGACTATTATATTTTGTAAGGTTCGTTAGTAAATGCCTCAGTTCACAAACTGGGTTTGACAAAACTGGGTCTTATCATCATATTTTTATTAGTCTGTCCATTCAGTTTCCAATCAGTACAATGTCATAAGGCTTTATAAAATAATAGTATTTATTTATTGTTATCAGGAATCGGGGTTCGACCACATCCCAGAACGCCTACGTTTTGTGCCAGTGCCGGTGATGCGTCTCGAGCAGTGCCAGACGGCATATCGTTTCTACATCACGCCGAGAATGATGTGTGCCGGTTATGCCACTGGGGGAAAGGATGCCTGTAATGTAAATAATATATTTCATATTATATACCTTATATACTTTATAAACTAAGTCAAATTGTAGACGATTTAAGAACGTTATCCTAAGAATATGGTAGTTTCGTTATATATAGCAACTATAAATTTTTTTAAAGTACCATTGAAGGTGGTAGAACCTAGCTGGTCAAGTTACTATAGCTCATACATGGGCTGGCTCGACCGGGGAAGTGCCACCCTCTCACAGAAGATCGGCGTGAAGTAGTCTTTAATGGCTGCGTTTCGTTCGATGAGTGAGAGAGATGAATGCACTTTCCCAGTACCCATTCTTACTACCCGTCCCTCTTCATCAACAATCAAAGTCAAGGCATTCGTAACATAATATATGTTGCGGATGTCCATGTACGACGGTGACTACTGCCCATCAAATAGGCTGTCTTCTCGTTAACCAATTAACCATAACAAATAAACAGAGAATCTTCTTTCATCTTATCGAGCATTCATCATTATCATCAGCACGACTCCGGCGGGCCAGCAGTGAGAGACGGAGTGTTAATCGGCATTGTGTCCTTCGGCGGGAAGAAGTGTGGCGACGCTCGATCTCCAGGTGTATACAGCAGGGTGACTGAAATCACGGACTGGGTTGAAGCCACTATCACTGACAACGAGGCTTTCGAAGTACCTGAACTGAAGGCGAAAATAGAAAAGGCACGGCTTAGAGAGAAGGAATTGCAGAAGTATAGACATTCTTTAATACTCTTAACGTTTAAGCAGCAGAATCATTTAAGCAATTACGCATGGAATTGCATTGCAATTATTATCGGTTTTTCTTCTGACCGTACTCATGAAATTTAATATTTTTTGCAACATAAACTATTTGCATAATTTTTTATATTCATCTACACGTATTTTTTTGTATTAAGATTCATAATTATCTCTAAGATGGTTTATATGTGGCTAAGAAGTAATCTAATTTAGATTCAATTAACGCGACCTAGATATTAAGCGCATGAAATTTAACATATTTTATCTCAAATTACACTAATTTGTGACAAGTCTGTGATAATTTCTTGAAGTATTTTCATTAAATTTGCCGTTTCAGGTTCAAGGCGAGAGTGGAAGAAAAGAAGAATAAAATAAAAGATTGGCTCCGTGAGACGCTGAAATCACCTACGTTCCTTAAATTGGCTAAAAAGAAACTCATAGATGCTGGAGTTATCGCTGGAAATACTATGAGAAGATCTCATCAACCGGTGTACATAGATGATAATACGTTGGATGAAATAAACCTGTCTCATCTCATAAATGAAAGAATATTGGAAGATACTGAGAGGAATGAGCCAGAGGTACTGCTCCGGTCGCTGGCGATGCAGGAGGTGATGAACGAAAGCAACGAGCTGCGAAGAACAGATGATGATGATGATGTGGAAGAAATTGTCGCGTATTTGACTAAATAAAATTAATAGTTGGACATTATACTTTTATTATTATCATTAATTTCTATTGTAATTGGTAGACTGCATTAGAAACAGTTGCGTACAATGAGCCATGTGAAGATTTTAAGATAAGAGGCCAAAGTTACACATAATAGACAATTAATATCTTCCTTACATACGTAGTAAGCATTATCAATATACATGTTGGTATAGACAGAAATAATGGGAACTACCTTAAATGTAACGAATTAGATATAATAAAAATTGTAACACTCGTTATAAAATAAAACTAATAACTTTAATTTTCAATAACATATCATTTTTATCAAACAGAGCTCTCTGAAAGACGTTTACTAAACTATTTGTAATTCATTTGCTAACGACATCTATAAATTATATTCCTAACTTCTTAGCATCTTTTAATGTTTTATCTTTTTGTCACTAGATGTCACGATATTTCATTCACGTATGACAGTTTGCTTGTAATGTATTTTTTAAATTCATAAATATATTAATCAATAATACCCAAAGTTATAATACATTAAAAAGTCAAACATGATTTTAATTTATTAAATATAGGATGGTATAGATAAGATAATGCATAAGAATAATTTTGAGAGGTAGCAACCTTTATATAAGTACCAGTCAGAAAGAATTAATTAATATATTAACACTTGTAAGATAATTATGATTTGTCTTCTTTTATTACAGAAATTACAATTATGATTATTATTATGAATACAACAGCAAAATTTTAAAAATAAAATGTGAAAGATGATTAAAGATTTACTAAAAAGCCCCTAGATGTCGCCTTTGACAATAATATGCGTTTATGTTTCGGATCCATTCCATCCTTAATATTTTTAAGTAAGGCTTTATTTTTATGGCAAATTAATAATCATTACTATAAAAAAAGGAAACAACGTATAGGTGTATGCGCGAAATCAACGGTCATTTATATAAAATGTCATAAATTATTACATGATTGTTAATAAAAATTGTCATATCGTAGCTAGAAGCTGGGACATGTTACTTGTTAGAGAAGAAAAATACGAATATCATAATCTGTTACGATTGAAAGAGTTTGTATGACAATAAACTAAAACATACTGAAAAATACATTTAATATTAAAATTCTAAAAATATTTAAAGAAACTTAATAGGTATTTTATAATTTTTCACTTATTAGATAATATTAAAAATATTTTACTGAAATTTGGTATTTGCATTGAATTTAATATTTCATATGTGTTTTTCATTCATGACGTGTATAAATAATAATAATTAATAAAGAAAATACTAGAAGGAATAAAAGTGAAGAATCCTTTAAATTAATTTAATTAAATTCTTTCATTCTTTATTTTATAAAAAGAGTTATATAAATATGATTTATTGATATTAAAATTAAATCTATTTCCTGAGACTTAAGCTTTAAAAACTTTGTAACATCGACAGATATGTTTACAGAATCCTTGTATCAATAAGATTGTGCAAGAGTGCAACTAACTTTATCTTATCGAAATAAAAATAATCTCTACCTCATTATAATGTTTGTAAATGACTGTATCAAGTGTTATCAATGCATTCAGGAAAAAAATAAACGCGGATCGTCGCACGATATGCAGAGATAACGGGTTCTACACACCCTGTGTGCAATTCATACTACGAATTTATTAAGTCAATGGCATGGATGTACGATAGACTATAGATATAATGAACATTACTTCCTTGTAATATACATTTAGATAATCATTTAATATATATTTGGCTTATTTTTTATGTATCTGAGTATCTTTTACTGTATATATTTAACTATCAGAGATCGTTCTAGTTGAAATAATAAATCTTTTAACTTTGATTCGAAGTTTTCAGGAAGCTTGCTTAAGTTATATATTTAAACACATTTAAATATATTTCTTATTAAAACAAGATAATATGCTTCTAAAATATGATAAAATTCGCTGTTATTACATACATAATCTTTTTGTTGATTTTCATTCAATTCAAAAGTCGTACGATTAGTATAGGTATTTGAAGCTTCTCACTTCATCAAATACTATAAGTTGCATATACATACATATATATGTGTGTGTTTATAATGATGACACACCTCCGTTATCGACAGTCTGTAAGGTTATTGCTTTCAAGACCTGGCTGTGACTGATATACAAGGGTTGAAAACCTCGAACACAGACAGATACCTCCCGCGTAAGTTGTTGTAACTCCAAAACTGTAATTTTACAGTAGAAATTAAACCAAAATCTGCATTTATTGATGCATCTTTTTAAAATTTCGTATTTAAATTTAACATAATAGTTCTTCTTAACTACGTTAAAAGATATTTTAATTAATATACCTATTTGCGGAGATATTGTTATATTGTTCATACGACATTTTACTCCGTCGTAGAAGCTAAAAAAGGTGTTGTATCTGATACTTACAACATTCTACCGCGGTGCCCAGGTAGCATCACTTGTGGTATATGATAGTTACAACTGTATACGTTGAAAAAAATAAGTCTTACTCTGTTGTATGTAACTCATACAAGGCGCGAAGGTGTGATTTTGCCGACCCTCGCCCCGCGTATACAGTTGCGTAGGCATATACATCAGTTTAATCCGTTCGCATTTGAAAATTACAACATTATGCGTCTGACAAATTCTTTAAAAATAGTGTTTTTGTTGTTTTTTTAATTTGAATGGATGTAATGATCCATAATAGGATATTTTACAGAAAAAAAGCAAAATAGAATTTTTGTGGCTTACAACAACTTACGTGGGAGATATCGAAACCATCACAGCGCGACAGGGAGATTAAAATACTAAAGAAAATGTAAAATTGTTTTAAGAATCTATCAATATAATATTATATTAATAAAGTCTATTGCTTTTATTATAATAAATAACGGTGACATAAAACAAGGAAATGGCGTTTTATTCATCAATTTTCGCTCTTGCGTCAAGTTGTTGCGAGATGTTATATAGGGTGTTCAAATTAAAAATTAACTTCAAGTAAAGGAAAATCTTATATATAATATATGTCGTAAGTTAATAATAAATATTGTGTATATAATGTGTGTTATAATATAGGTTAAATTTATAATTTTTAAAGTAGTTTATGGTGTACACATCATGTATATATCACGGTCTACTTATTGCTATCAGAATTACATAATTCTGTACTAATTTCATTTTGTCTGTTTTATTTGGTTTTAAGACAAGTTTTTATTCAAATAAATTATGCTAGGATTCATAGTCAAAAGATTCTGATTTTGATACTTCTCATAAATTCCAAAATTACAAAGATTTTGTTTGTGATTAGTATGTATGTATGTATGTGTACTATTTTCTAGTAAATCGTAAAAAGGATTTGGTGGGTTTGGTTGATTAAGAAGTAGTTTTTGTATAAAAAAGTTTTCTTACTATTAATATTTTCGAAATAAATGTCAATGAAATACAGTCTCCTGTTTTTCATTAATAGATTTTCGTAAATATAATTATCAATATATAAATAATAATTTTAAACTGTCTTTATTGAATTACAATGAATGTTGTGATACACTAAACATTGGTAACACTTTGTAGGTAATATTTCTTTTTCTCTTTTTTTCTTCATTGTTACTTATATCAACAGCCTATCAGAGCCCACTGCTGAGCAAAGGCCTCTTCTCACATGGAGAAGGTTTGAGCATTCATTTTTCATTATTATTTCTTTATAATCTTTATAATCACGAGAACAGAACGTTGAAATTTTTGAACATTTCCTGATCAATCACAATACTAAACAGATGACAGTATAAATTTAGTTTTGTTAACCAAATACTGTAAACGCCTCGTTTATAGTAAGATGGTGAGACTCATTCTAAGATTACTTACTAGGGTTTGAGCTAAGCCCGGGGGCGAATTGGTGAATTGCCATAGCAGGTCCCAAATCGCCCCCAAATACGGACAGGAAGGGAAGCCGGGGAGTTTTAGTGGGTATTCCCAGGGTCAACAACATCAGGCTCTGGGCGACCCCCACACAAGTCCTACCGTCGAGCCAGGGCAGTGGGTAGTCTGTAAGCGGATTTCTCCCCGAAAAAAAAAAAAAAGGGTTTGATCTAAAACATGATGCCATCGAATTATGTATAATAATATCTTATTCTTTACCTCTTCCCACGTAAGGTGGGGTCGGCTCTCCTTATATTCTTGCTGTAGGACAATCTTTCTTGGGTTGTCAAGTCAGGAATTCGGACTTCTTAAATATTGACCATAATAATCCAGCAGGTTATTAATGTATAATAATATAATATTTAAAATTTTTCAATTACTTTATACACACTTTTATATAGTAATAATAATCTAATAATATGTATATAATTATAAATATTTTAATAGAACTAATAATGGATGCATGCTCTTTCTTTTATTAAGTTAATATGGATAATATATTGAAATTTCAATAACTTTTAACTATTACGTCCGACGAGATCACAAAGAATAGAGTATACTTAAAAAATACTAGTTCACTGTTTTCTAGGTTGAAGAAAACATTCGTGATACTAAAACATACATATCTTGTATATAAAATTCTCGTGTCGCCGTATTAGACAGAGAACTCATCTGAAACGGCTTGTCTGATTTTGATGAAATTTTGTGAGCATATGTAGTAGGTCTGATAAAACCAACATCTATTTTTCATACCCCTAAGTCATAAGGGTTATTCATCTTTATTTTTTTTATTTCATATTTTCACTCGATTTTTTTTATGTAACATTAAAAAATACATACAACCCAATATTTTTACTTTTTCATCACCAACCCCTATTTTTCTATATGGAAAAACAACGTTTGTCAGGTCAGCTAATATACATATACATATATCTAGAAAACAAAATCCTTCCTAGCTTTGAAACAGTCGATAACGAATAAAACAAGTATAAGTAAAGTTAGTGATATTATAAAAATTATCTTAAATATTAACAAAAAAAAAAACATTTTTATCAAGATTCCTCTCGTATTTCTCTTTACAATGTCTCAGCA